TTGTATTTATTAATAAATTTAAATAGATCTTATAATGAGAAAGGATTTATATTTTTTGTTAAAAAAATAAATAATAGGTGAAAGTTCATTTTAGTCAGGTTTTTTAATTATGTTTCAATATTGTGAATTAGAGTTTCTTTATTAGAAAGTTTATTATACTTTATTGAAAGATTTCTGAATATACAATATTATATATATAATCAATATAGCTTGCTTCTTTTTCTTGTTATTTATTAATAAGGACTTTTAAATTTTTTTAGATGTAACTCTTGAAAAAGCAACATACAATTGTCTATGAGAGAAAACAGGAGTTGGAAGATACAAACCAACCCAGTTCAATGTTTGTCCTTGAGATTTGTTAATAGTCATTGCAAAAGCAGATTGTACTGGAAATTGATGTTACTTAAAGGTAAATGGTAAACTAATATTTGAAGGTGATAAAGTGATATGGGGAATGAATGCATGAATTCTAGCATGTTTTTCAGTAATTATCTCAGCTTCAATTACATGCTTTTGAAAAGAACAACAAACCAATCTTGTTCTATTACAAAGACCATCAGATAGGTGAATATTTCGCAACAGTATAGTTGGAGATCCTAGCTTTAATATTAATTTATAAAAAGAAAAACCTCCAATGATAAGAGAATTAAGGAACTCTATTAGATATTGATGATTAGATTCTGTTTGATTTTTAATTGTGTCAGCACTAAGATATTCAACAGCTTCACCAGGAAATTGAGTCATAATAGCAGCATTAATAGCATTAACATGTTTATTTTTTGGAGCAAGTATTGCACGTTTGACTAAATATTGAGAATCAGAACTTGCAGAGAGATTAGGGTAAATAAAATGAATCAGAGCATTTATATCTTGGAATGGCAAAATAATATTTTTAGAAAGTTGAATAATATTGCCTTCTATTTCAGCAACAGTAGGAATATGCTCTAAGTAGCCAATTAGCAAATTCTTTTTGTTTAGCTGCATCTGGTTCATTTGCATTACAAAGGAGATGCATGTTAATTTTCAATAGCATTACTCTAATGTGCTTCTACAAAGCTGACATCGTAAGCAAGATCCTACAATTTCTTCTCAACCACCCTTTATTATTACAGGAAGAATTTGACAAAAGTCTCCTCCAAACACTACAACTTTATCACCAAATGGCTTTGTCTCTAATAATAAGTTTAGTGTTTTCATAAGATCTCTTAAAGTTTTATCTACAGCTTCAGGTCCATGTCGATGTGCCATTGGAGCTTCATCTCAGATAATAAGATGTGCATTCTGCAAAAGTAATGCTAGATCAGAACCATGTACTATTGAACATGTAGAGTCTTCATATATATCAAAAGGTATCTTTAACCTAAAGTGAGCAGTTCGACCACCTGATAAGAGAAGAGCAGCAATATCTGATGAAGCTACAGCAAGAGCTATATATCCTTTTAAACGAATATGAGCAAGCAAGACTCTATATTATATTTTTAATTTAAGAAAATTTTATATTCAATTAGAGGTTTTAATATAATTTTTGGTTTGATTACTGATTATAAATCTTTATATACTTATATTGTATAAATATTCCTTTGCATTTAAGAAAAGTAATTTAATATTAATAAATTATTAAAATTTTTCTTACTTGTAAAGAAATGTTTTTCCAGTTCCACCTGGACCATCTACAAAAAAAACAGCAGGTGTTTTTGTTTCTATAGCTGCAATAACTTCATCAAATATGGCTCGTTGATCTACATTTAAACAGGGAAGTTCTTTTTCAATAATTTCTGCAAGTTCTTCAATATTATATTGTTGCTCTTCTCTAATTAGATAGTTATCTTGTTCAGTATTAGTATCAGCAATTGGAATAGACATATATAAAAACTCCTCAAGACATCTTTCATGTTTATTTAAGATAGATTGTAAATGAAGAAGAGCTCTATTTTGTATATCAGTATCTCTAAGTTCAAGAGCCATATTTCTAGTATTACAACAGGTTTGAAAGAGTATATCATCACAGAGTGAATAAATATGCTTTTCCCAAAGTGTTTCAGGTCTTAATGGGTCACAAAATATAAGCAAAGTGGCAAATAAGTTGTGTAGTTGTGCACCTGATTGCATCTGCTCAGCTTCTGTTAAGCATTGATCCTACTCTTCATCTTCTTGTAATAGGTTTAAAGCAATATATGCTTCTCTAAAAGAATGATAAGTAATTCCATTTATAGTGCGAATATCTTCAAAAGAAGTTGAACCAACAACTACACTAAGTAACATTCTTAGATAATATCATTCACCTGCTGCAGGATGAACAAAATACATATGACCAATAGTATATTCTCGCTGCCTTGGTTTTCATTTCTTTGCCCATATATCATAGGTCCATTGAGATAGAAAATTGGCATAAGTAAGGTTTCTTGCTTTCAGATATATTGTATTTGCCTGAAACCATGCTGTAAGAGTTGTCTTTTCTACAGCTGAACATTGAACTATATCTTCCAAAGACTCATCATCTCTGAATAATACTCTATATTGACCTGGAAGGTGAAAATATAATTGCATAATGTCAGGCTTCTTATTATGTAATCTGTAGTGAAGTATTCTCCATGAAGCTTCTGATGCTGAAACATAGCGAGCATCTAAATAAAGTCTTATTTCATTATTTGTTTGATTATGTATATTGTTGTTTCTAATTTCAATAGTTGCACAATTAGGTCCCTTATAAACATATTTAAAAAGGTATTTTACAGCAGTAATTGATGAACAAATTTCTATATTAATGTGACAGTCGTATTTAAATGTAAGATAAAGGTTATAAGGTACAACTCAACAATTATCTAATTGAAACCCTTTTACTTTTATAGTTCTACCATTATTTTTACGTCTATATACAGGATAACCATGTTCATTCTCTATAGTACTTTCTTGAAAGTTTCGTGGATATTTCTTGAAGCATTTTCCATCTTTCATGCATGGGGCATTTGGATTAAGTAAACCACATGGTCCATGAATCATTGCCCTTTGAACAGTATTAAACAGATCAGGATCATCATCTTTATTGGGAATTTTAGCAGATATAATTGCATCATAGTCAATAACAATTTGGGGCTTGTATTCTTGTACAAGAATAATAAGAATATGAGCATAAGGTAGGCCATGCTTTTGAAATTCTATTGTGTAAACATAGCCTGCTACTGATCCAAAAATGTTTTCTTTCAGAATATTATTTAAAAGTGCTTTTAGTTTCATATTAAAAACTCAACTAATTAGATCAGGATGGTCAAATGATGTTTGTCCTAAAAGAAGTTTATTTTTAATCTCAGTCCAATTTGGATTGCAAGTTACTGTGATAAACAGGTCAGGTTTTCCAGCTATTCTTACAATTGTCATAGTATCTTGGTATAGTTTATGCATTTGGCAAGGCCCTTCTGTAAAACTTGAAGGTAATATAATTTGTTGTTCTATATTCATTGAACTATCTCCTGCATACATAGCATCTTGAATTCCATTATATAATTCTGCACGTAGTTGTTTTTGGTTATGTCTTAGATAGTTAAGACATGTTTGTTCTATTACTGAATACATATCTACAATCTATTGTTGGAAGAGTCATCTATACCAATGCAAAGTTAATGCTTCATTAGGATGACCAATTTGAAGCCTATATGAAAGATAATTCATTATTGTAACACATTTATTTGACTCATTTTCTTGATTTTCATCATTAGGCTCTAATATATTATTATCTTGGTCATTTGTATAATTATTACATATAGAAATATTAGGATGCCATCTATCTTCACCTCTAAGAAATATAAGAACATAATGAAGAGGTTCATATGCAGAGTGTAATTCTGATATTCTTTGTAGTTCTCCATTATTTGAATGTAATACAATATCTTTGTTTAATGGTTTTGCTTCTTGTCCATTTTCTATCATAATAATAGCAACTTTAGATGCATTTGGAGTATTATAACAGCAAGGGTCTTTAGTTCTATTATTTGTAATTATTAATTTTAAGTCTAATAATGGATCATAATTTAAAAAATATCCAACTTGATGAAACACATTAGCATATGGATTAATATCATGTAACATTTGTTGAAGATCAGCAAGAATAGTAGAATCAAGACCAGGCATTATATTTATCCTATTTTGTAATTCATAATCTGTATCGTAGATATATATCTGAGCAAATTGAGGCTGGCTTTCAGGATTAAAAGAAAAGGCACCTATTCTGTGATATACTTCTCCATGAATGCGAAAAGTATAAACACCACTAGTTCCTGTAACCTGATTATCAATATTAGCTCCTATAGATGTAAAAGATAATGCAGAATTATACATTCAGATATTGTATCGAAATGAACGTGCACGTGGATTTGTCTCAGTCAGAAGGTTATTAAGAGAAGTTGGTAGATTTTGAAAAGGTGGAAGAGTAACTTTTTCTTTTGCACAGCAAGTAGAAAAAATAGGCATTCTTTTTGATTAGTTTACTCATTCATCTAACCACATAAGAGCTTCACAATAACAGCATTTTTGATTCATTCTACCTAGCATATAATGATCTAAACTGTGTGAACTCCATGAATAAATATGTGCTCTTGGAATCTGTGATAAGGTATTCATTAAAAGAACAGCTATATCTTGTTCTATACCAGAAGCAAGCACCAAATTGCTATTATTATCAATTTTGTTTCTTTTTTGTTGATGACATTTTTGTTGACATTCACATTGTAATCTTTTCTGACGATCTTTAAAAGTTTCACCATTCATAGTTGTATATGAAAGTTATTAAGGATAAGTAAATATTTTGAATTTTTTTAAGATCTGATATGTTTAAAAAAAATATAACATGTTATTAACACGTAATCCTTTAATAACATTTAAATTTTAAATACATGTTGACAAAAGATCATCTGATAAGAATTTACCTCTCGAACTTTAATAGGAACATGTATCTAGCCTAGTGATAGGCAATGCACATAATATGCACATTTTCATGCACATGATTTTTATATATACTTATAATGCTAGCAAAGCAATACGCATAATGCTGGTAAAATATCTAATTACTATACATGGATTTATTATGATAAGTATTATTGTTATCACTATTACTATGTATATGATTGAAGTTCTATATTTACAATTATATGTATTTAATACATATAAATAAAACTTTATTTATTTACAAAACTTTTTTTTTTAATAATTAAGAATACATATATTATACGCTCTTTCTATCCAAGCTTTACAAAAATAATTATTTTACAACAAAAATTATTTAATCACATCAAATCAAGATCGCATATAATCAACTTTACAATTCAATATAGTTGTATGAATTAAGATTCCACACTATGGAAATCTAAAACATTTTCAATCAAGTTAAAAATCTGTTAAAATTACTTGATCAGACAACTATTTAATTTACCTCATGTATTATATACTCAATCTCTCTATCAGCTTCCTATCAATAATCATATTGAAGTATATTAGATTCTTTAAATATGTTATAAATGATAAAAATCATCAAAAATAAAGTGAAGGCACATTCTATCAATGTATAAGCATTGCTGTTTTCAGTTACTATAAAAAAGTACCATAGCAACTTCGACGAAATACATTATAATTTCAACTTTTTTTTGGTATTACCATCCTCATCTTCGCTCCTATCTTCATTTCCATTTTTATCTTCACCTTTGTTCTTGTTTTCATCCTCACTTTTGTCTTCATCTTTGTCTAACAGCATAAAACATGTCCTGAGTGGCAGTTGTCCCTTCATCCTCTTGAAAGTATATTTGTACACCTTATATTCACTTTTTCCTATACTTTCCTATTATTTTTCAATTATGTAAAGACCATCATACCTATACCTAATGATCGCAAAATGTAATATACAATGATTTGGACCAGATTTTTAGTGCAATAAATTATATTGATATTTACAGATACTTATCCTTCTTCTAGTACATATTCATTGTCTAAACAGAAACCTCTATTCAAATTGTATATATAAAATATTATTTACCAAGTCATAGAAAATATAACAATAATGTACATACCAAATTACACGAATAGGTCTCTTTGTTTTACAAGAAATCATTAAAGCAAGATTGCCCATGACTAATTCTTGATCTTTTGACTACAAACATTAAAAACAAATGCAATAATAATGGTTTGAATTCATCGTCATTCAAAAATTGGGTTATTAATATACTTGTAGTGCAGTTCTTAAATTCTTTGGATTACTCTTGGTGCCTTTTAGGTCTCTGCCACCAGAACTGGTGCAAGTGAAAGCTTCTTCTATTTTGCAAATATGATAAATGTGTCCAAAAATTGAATAAGTAAGCATCTTTACATCATTCTGATCTGTATACATACCCTAATCGACATCATCTTTATATCTTTGTAATATCAGCAAACATCAATAACAATAATACGTAATTGTTCCAATCACGAATATTGAAGTATTATAAACTTAACCCCTGATAAGGCAATACTCATTGCACCTTCATCTTCATTCCACACTATTCCTGCAACCATCGGTCTAATTTTAAAATCAATTCATCAGACGTATAGAATCATAACAAATTGTGTATGCTTTGGCATAAATTTACTTATACATGAACTCCAGAATAGCAGCATGGCATTCTTGTCAGCCATCAACTTCTAACCTCATATCCTAAAAGGTTGCCAAATTGTTGAGGATCCGGCCAGTTTTGGCGCCAATTTGGGTCACTTTCGTAAAAAGCAACTTTTCGCACAGTAGCTTTTCACCGATTTTCACTTTTGATTCCCACAAAAAGCATATCTTCGCTTAAATTTTTTGGTAGCTATTTATAAGTTATATTACATTTTCTACTACTAATAAAAAATAGACTACCTTACATTGCAATGTTTATGTTGAGTACTTCGTAAAATACCAGTACGTTGCCTATAAAACTTGTCCCCAACCTATTAATAAACATGATATATTATTATATTGTGAATTACATGTTATAATATAGCAGTCTCAGAATCATACTTTATATAGTTTTCTAAAAGAGCAAGTATATTCTTCTTATCTAGATTTGGATTTGGGTGGCACTGATTTGTACATATAGGTTTGAATTGGTATGGGTTTTGTTGGCACGATTCTTTAACCAAATTTGGAAAATTTTAGTGCAAAGCAAGATGTATGTACAGTACATATGTATACCAAAATTAGATTATTTATATTTATTTATATTGAGTAGTCTAAATGTGACAGTGCATAAATTGTGTAACCATTAACGATTTTAAATATATAGATTTAAGGAGTCTGCCCAAAGGTTCCCTACCAATTGCTGTACCTAACACCCCTGCTTGGGTGTTCCACTTTAAACCCTCTGAACTTGTAACCTGTGTTAATATTATTAGTCATCTCAGATGTACCAGATTATCATTCTCAACCTTAGGACTAATTTATCCTCGAGATAAACCCTTCAAAGCCTTCTGTACCCATTTTTACAGCTGACCTAGGTATCGCTATAGCAGAACCAACACTTGCGGTTAGGGCTAACCATTAAACTACTATGCCCTTGTAGAGTTCACTTAGACCCTAGCATCTACTTCACAGCATAACCCCGGTACTTTAGTATACCCCTGCCTTTTGTTCAGCCTTTTTACCAGACTCCCAATTCAGATAGCCCATGCAGTGTTGGAAATTCAAAAAAAATATAGTGATTTTTGTGAACATAATTTTTTTTTATAATGTTCACATTAAGAATAATAATGTTCACATATAAAAATTAATATACTTATTTGTAATTTTATTTTACAAAATTATTTATATATGTATTTATTTTATAAACTAATATATTTATTTATAAAATCAATATATTATAATATTCTTATTGACTAATATATCTATTTGAAGAATTTTCCCAAATATTATATGCACGTTCAAAATCAAATTCATCTATTGATGAACTATTTATAGAAATTGATAAAAGGTAATTAAGAGTATTAATATTCATTCGATTTCTAAGTTTGGTTTTGATTAAATTTTAACATGAAAATACATGCTCTACTACAGCATTAGAAAGTGGGAGTATAAGAAATAATTCAACAATTTTATAAGAATTAGGATAAAGAACAGAAAAATTTGGAATTTTTTGATATAATGCTTTCCAAGCATCTAAAAGCTTTAATAATGCAAAATTTTTAAGTAATATACGAACAAAATTCCACTCTTGAATTAAATCTTTAGCATTAATAAATGAAGAAAATGTAATTCCTAAATTTAAATTATATACTATATAAATATAAAATTAATAATAATTTT